AAGGACCCAGATTGTTGGAGGCAATATGGTCTAAACCGCTTAGAGAGAGCAGTAAAGCACTGTGAAGTGGCATATAAGTCTAAGTGCTATCGCTATCGCTTGTGAAGTCTCTCATGTAGACATTCACCAAACGTTGACTCAAACATTCATGCAGAAGATGCCCATTCATGGATACAAAGAGATATTTCAGAGCTTATACAGTATGTCCTTGAGTTTGGGAACTTAATACCGCAGATATTTAACATTTGTGGTGTAGCATCACCTCCGTTGATTCCTAATATTATTTTCCCTCATGAATTTTTTTCCTACTGAACATGGTGTCTCTATTGGTTGAACAAGAAGCAGAGTAACCTTCATAATAAGATAGATAGAAGGAGGTTCACCAGCCCTGAACAATGGAAATCCTGTCTTCCAGGGTTTTATGCAGATCTCAACTCAGCTATTGATAGAAAGGCTGGTCGGGCAGGTTTTCCCCGTAGAATATAGTGAGTTATAAATCTCTCCTTGATTTTGGGCGGACCACAATTATGTTTGTCTGAGACGCTAGTATTAATTCAGCAGGTAAAATAACTGCTCCCTTGTTTGGAACAGGAAGTAAAACAACCTTGTGTAAATATGCACAAGTTCAAGAAATGGAAAAAAACAACAACACCTGTGAGCCAAGGAAGATTGGGGGAATGTTTCTGTGAGGGATGGTCTAACAACGGGTAAACAAGAGGCCCTCTTGATTTTGTTTGAGGAGCAGAAGATATATCAGAGAAGGAAAAGAGCTAAGAATATTGATGGGCAAAAGAAAAAGAAAAAAAAAGAAATTTCTGTAATGTTGCTTTGCTGGCAGAGCTGAAGAGATGCTGTCATTTTGATCCTTCAAACAACCCAGACCTGTAAACCAGATGTCAAGTCTGCTAACATTGGATGTTCTTGCTTGCCATATGTGAAGAAGCAAACATGTTTTATTTAGCCTACATATCACTTCTAGAGTTAAAGCAGACGATACTAGCCTAGTAGGTGGGAAAGTATGCCAGCTAATCATAACAATATCTCAGCATAGCACAGCCAAGGTCAGCATAACAGGAGAAATAGGGAGGGAGAAATTCACACTTCAAACTAATTGGAGCATATGATTGATGACTGTAAAATGAAGGAGTGAGTTATGCGTTGTTACAGGTGCTCGTGGGGTGGGAGGTTCAGTTTTTGGCTTTTTATTGTTCGTGCCGAAGCTATGTAGCCTAATAAAGGATTCTTTAAGGTAAATAAGCCTCAAAGTTCTTTGAAAAGCTACTTCTTTTTGGAACCATGTCACCAGATGTACTCACCACAGTTATCAGATATCAAAGTTCGTTTGCTTGTACCTTGTACAAATATAAGGAGGCGGAAGAAAGAAATTGGTGGTTGTGAAGTTAACACAAACCTAGGCAGAGTCTATTGAATAGGTCATTATGTGGTGGAGTTTACACACAACACTGAGGCATAGAGCAGAATTTACAAAGCTCAGTTGTCGCAGTCCTACAACACATTAGCATGGATGTTGGAAGCCAACCGCTAGGCTTCAGCCAACCACGTACCATTTGATGGGTGAATGAAAGCCGGGCATGATTTAGTCAGCAAACAATGATTAAAACAAACAAGTATAACAAGAAATCTCACTAAAATAAATAGAGGCGAGCAGGTCCGTGGTCCTCGCCCTAGCCTGCGTCACTAGAATGTTTTGAAGATAAACTGTATTTAGAAAAAGAGGATAATCTGAAAGGGCCTGAAGACCTTGGTCAACTGGCCTGGATCCTCATGGATGGGGGGAGACATTATTTTGGAGGTGGTTGATGGACTAAGATAAGACTCCACTTCCTCACCCTTATGTGCATATCGCTCCCTTCCTCTCCATTTCAGTCAATCTTAACTAATTCAATGCCACCATTTATTGTTTTAATGTTACTCTGGGTTTTAATGATTGTAAGCTGCCTAGAGCAGGGCTTTTCAACCTTTTCACCCATTGTACCACTTTTAGGCTATGGCAATATCCAAGTACTACTAGTCACCTAGCAAGGTATCAAAAACTTGATGACCCCCCCCCAAAAAAAGGAAAAAAAGTGATAAAGTACAGGTTCACTTAGTGACAGTTCGAAGTTACAACGGCACTGAAAAAAGTGCCCTCCAAGCCATAGCCGAGCAAGACAGCGCCCAGCGGCGCTCTTCCTCCTGTCCAAAGTTTTCATTGTTGTGAGCATTTCTGTTGAGGATTGGCAGTGGGGGTGGGTGGGGGATGTTTGGTTTTTATTCCCCCCGTCTGCTGGGTGGCTACAGCAGGTTTTGGTCACTTCACATGACCCTGGGACACTGTGACCATCATAAATATGAATCAGTTGCCAAGCATCTGAATGTAAATCACAAGACCCTGGGGATGCTGCGACATTCCAGCTGATCGGCACTTTTTCTGGGCTCAGCAGAAGCACCAGGATCAGCGCTGAGCTCCAGTGGTGCCTGGCACTGATCCTGGCGCTTCTACTGAGTACTGACAGGCCTGCAGCTCCAGCCATCTCTCGCTCAGGCTTGTGCGATGCTGCCACCGGTTCAGCTCATTCCCTTCCCCTGCTACCACTTTTCTAGGATGGTCACGTACCACCTGCCAGGTGCCAATGTACCACAGATGGTACCCGTACCACTGGTTGAAAAGCCCTGGCCTAGAGTCACCCTCAAGTGAGATGGGCAGCCTAATAAATAGAATAAATGAATAAACAGTGTGGTAAGTTAAATTACCTTCTACGTCCTGGTGGTATTTGCATTATAAATAGTTCCCTTCCCCTTCCTTTATTTTTTCTCTCTCCTAATTTTTCCCAGCCCCCTCTTTTGTGGAAGGGAGGGTAGACTCACAGTATTTTTTTCACCATAGTAAATTTCTTGTCTGGAAAACGAATCTCACCTCTTGTTTCTCTCCCCAATTTCTCTCTGTTTGGTGCAGAGTTAGCCAGAAGTTCTGATGGACTTGAAAACGGTTGAGGTCCTGGTGATTTTTTAAGAGAAAGAGAGATTGGCTCAATGACTCAAAGGAAGACTTTCCAGCATCATTATCCACCATGGTTCCTCACATAGCACTAACATTTCAAACCGTTTAAATCACGTGGTGATTTTGTTACCACTACTCAGATTTTACTTCCTAATCCTTGCTAAGCCTTCTACTCCACTGGTTGGGTGAGGGAGGGCCAGGGACACCACGCAAGTCACAGTGCGATCATACAAGCCACAAAACGATGCACCTGATGTGTGGACATGAATGACAAGAATTATTGCTTGGAGCAAACACCTATGTGCATTAGTAAGCATTACTGTATTACTACTTAGGCTCCAACAGCAGTGTATTAGTAACTCAATTACTCAGTGCTAGTACCTCAGATATGCAATGTTGAAGAAGTTTTTTTTTTCTGTCAAATAAGTAGGAAGTTCAAATGACTAAATCAGATCCTGATCTAATAATTTGAATAATTTGTGCTGCTTCTCCACACAGATTCAAATTATTGGATCAGGATCTGATTATGGCGATCTGAGCTTTCTGCTTATTTGAGAAAAAGACATTTTTTTTCAAAATTGCACATCTCAGTTATTAGCACCCTTAATAACAGTACAGTTACAGAATTAAGTTGCTTTAGTAATTGGACTGTCCTGATATAAATTTTTTTTTTTTTCTTCTACTTCATATCTTTGCAGCCTTTCCTCATGGTAGCTGCACTTGGGTCAGTGGGTTGTGAGAAGACACAAAATATCTGCCCCCTCCTTTTACGCATAGAAAGAAAAAGCAGCACACACACTCTCACGCAGATCTTTAGATACCTTGAACGGCCATTTCTCTTCTGGGGCCGCCTTTGTTAGGTCCGCACATAATTAACGTGCACGCGTTTTGCAGCCAGTCTTGAGGAGAAGTAGCTGATTTGGAGGTTTCTTGGAGCGAGACCTCCAAGGCCAGCTGAAGAAGCAGTAGAAATGTCAGCATGGTTTGGATGTTTGGCCTACGATGATGAAAAACAATATAAAACAAATTATCCTGCATGGGTTGTTAGTTATTGGATACGGAACCAGTTCCTGAACTGTTGATTGTGAAATCCTTGTTGGGTCCCTACAGACATTTCCTTACTAATATTAGTGCATGCAGAAAGAGAAAGAAATTCAGATACCACTAAAGTCCCCCCCCTCTCTCTCTCTCTGTGTGTCTTTCTCTCTGTCTCTGTCTGTGTCTGCCTCTGTCTGTCTGTCTCCCTCCCTCCCTCCCTCCCTCCCTCCCTCTCTGTCGTCTTCTTCTTCTTCTTCTTCTTCTTCTTCTTCTTCTTCTTCTTCTTCTTCTTCTTCTTCTTCTTCTTCTTCTTCTTCTTCTTCTTCTTCTTCTTCTTCTTCTTCTTCTTCTTCTTCTTCTTCTTCTTCTTCTTCTTCTTCTTCTTCTTCTTCTTCTTCTTCTTCTTCTTCTTCTTCTTCTTCTTCTGTCTCTATCTCTGTCTGTCTGTCTGTCTCTCTGTCTCTGTCTGTCTCTCTGTATATATATATATTATTATCTATCTATCTATCTATCTATCTATCTATCTATCTATCTATCTATCTATCTATCTATCTATCTATCTATCTATCTATCTATCTATCTATCTATCTATCTATCTATCTATCTATCTATCCAATAACTGATGAAAGAAGAAAGTCCCTGTTTCAGTGCCAGCCCTCATTAGTGTAAAAAGTATACACGGAGTTAAGTCATGCCTTGAAAAGGGAATGCCCATGCTTAAATAGCACATAGTAACGAGACTTACCTTTCTGAGGTCTTCCATTAATTAAAAACAACCATTTTGATTGCTCAATCAAATAAACTCTTGGTTCTACATCCAGCAGTCTGCATAGAGAAACACCACGGCCATTTTTTAAACTTAACTCTAGCTCTTTATAGTCGGTGAAAGCAAATATTTAACGCTAAACCCTTAATACGTTCCCAGGCTTGCAAAAAATGTCTCCAAAGGTTCTCGGCTGATTGACTGACAGATTTAGAAAAGAATCACCTGTGATTTTTACATGAAATATATATTTTTTTCAGGGTTGAGTCAAAAGTCAGATCACTTACTTGGCGATTTCCAGTGTTTTACAGCCGTCCTGGGAAGAATAATTTTGTAGACTTTAAGGTTTCCAGACGATTGCTTATGTAATGAGGTCTCGCATTTCACATTCGCATTTTAAGAATAAAAGTTCTGAGTCACGATATTCAAACCACATTTCTCAGCCCAGATCCGTGTCACTTAGGGCTGTCACGTCCCCATCGTTTCCTTATTGACTCTTGTAAGATAATCACAAAGCAAGTATTGTCGGGAAGTTTTGAAGCATAAGCAAGGAGCATTTTGAGTCTTTATAGCTGGTGCAAGCAAATATTTAAGGATAAATCCTTAATCCAGTCTCAGTCTTGCAGAAACGCCTCTGAAGTTTCTCAACTGACTGACTGACCGATTTAAAAAGGAATCACCAATGATTTTACACCGAGTGTTTCTTATTTCCATCAACGCAATTAATTATTTGCTTTCCTCGTGGGCCCAAATAGATTTTTTTAATGGGAGAATTTTCTTCTTGTTCTGAAACTGTTTTACTTTGTCTCTCGAGAATAGAGCTATTTTAATAATGCAAAGGAAGAAAGTAACATTAAAATTGTACTGCAATGTCACCGATTTAATAAACATTAAAAAATGGCTAGTTTGGGGTGTTTTTGCGTAAGATTGATTATTCTTGCATATGATCTTGTAAAATCTTAACGTGAAATTGCTATAATATTAATGACTAGGATAGGACAGGATAGGACAGAATAAGGAATAGAATAGAATAGAATAGAATAGAATAGAATAGAATAGAATAGAATAGAATAGAATAGAATAGAATAGAATAGAATAAGGAATAGAATAGAATAAGGAATAGAATAGAATAGAATAGAATAGAATAGAATAGAATAGAATAGAATAGAATAGAATAGAATAGAATAAGGAATAGAATAGAATAGAATAGAATAGCAGAGTTGGAAGGTATCTTGGAGATCATCTAGTCCAACCCCTGCTCAGGTAGGAAACCCTACACCATTTCAGACAAATGGCTGTCCAGCCTCTTCTTAAATCTTCCAGTGTTGGAGCATTCACCGCTTCTGGAGGCAGGTTGTTCCACTGGTTAATTGTTCTCACTGTCAGGAAGTTTCTCCTTAGTTCTAGGTTGCTTCTCTCCTTGATCAGTTTCCATCCGTTGCTTCTTGTCCTGCCTTCAGGGGCTTTGGAGAATAGCTTGACTCCCTCTTCTTATATATAACATTTTATTAGTTTTCTGAGTTTAGAATTCATAGTAAACAACGTGTTATCTGGGTCCATTTGTTTTATTTAACAATACATATTGAATTCCTAGTCTCTACCCCATTTTTCCAGCCGTTGACAAAATACATCCCACACTTGAAAATATTCTGTGTCTTCTTTTTTCTTTAATCTTCAACGTAAGCCTATCCATTTCTGCACAGTCCAGTATTTCCTTAATTATCCCTTCATCGGACGGTGTTTCCTTATTTTTACAACACTGAGCAAATACAATTCTTGCTACTGTTAATACGTGTAACGTTAAAGATACACTTTCTTTATCGTATTTCCCTGATAGTATACATAATAAAAATAATTCTGGTTTAAGTTTGCTTACTCCATCTGCAATGCTCTCCATTCCTCACAATTTTAGTTCCTTTCTGGCTTGCTCTGGCCCGCTCTCTCTCTCTCTCCTACACACACACACACACACACACACACACACACACACACACACACACACACACACACACACACTGCTTTCTCTCCCTTCTCACTCTTTCCACCAGCTGCACCTGGACAGAGTGGGAGAAGCTTAAAAAAGAGAGAGGGGGGGGTAAAAGGGGGAATCTCCCCTTTCTCCAGCAGATGGTGGTGTAGAGTCCACAGGATGGGTTATTGATGCAATCCTGCTTAGCAGAACTAAGACAAGAAAAAACTCTTGCCACGCCTCCCTCTGGGCGTGCCTTCCCCAGTTTTTGTCTTAGTTCTCAGCTTAGCAGACGTGTTTTTCTTTGCTCCGCAAGGCTCCAGACTAGGCCTATTAGCCTTTTTTTTTACCTTTTTCCGTCTTATCTTTCTCTTGGCTCTTTAATTTTCCTTTCTGACCTCTCCGAGTCAAGTTGCGATTCCTCCCTTCTTCGGTGAGGGATCGCTGTGCCTGCCGTCCCCCGGTGCCTTCGGCAAGGGAAATTGCAGGCCCCATCCAGGGAGATCACCGGAGGGCGATTCCACTTCTTCCCGGCAGTTCCCTGCGATCGCTACCTTCGCTCGTCGCCGTTCGTTCGCAGCGGCTGCTGCGCATCCAATTGCAAGTTCAGAGCGAGTTTCTGGGCTCGGGGAGGGGGAAGTTGCTTGCGGTTTTTTTGCGTCTCGTGTTTGCAAGCTTCCCAGTGGCCGGCGAGCCTAGGAGCACCGCGGCCGCCATTTTGAGAGCTCCACGTGGCGCGCGCCTTTATTCCCGGGCCTACCCCCCCACTACATTTGCTCAGAAACAATACATTTTATTTGTTGCTACATTAATAATTGATTATAAGAGTAATAATATTAATACTTAGGTATAAGATTTTTTTTAAAAAAAAAATTAATAATAGTAATAATAAGAATTATATTTATAAACACATATATCAATAGGTATAAGGATATTCATAGTTTGAGTACTAGGATTTATTTAAAAAATAAATAAATAAATAAAAATAAAATAAAATAAAATAAAAAATAATAAAAGAAAATAAAAATACAAACAGAATATTACTGCTGTGAACAGACTTGGTGGTGACCTTATATCGTGCCTGTACTGCCGGTGTGCCTTGGCCTGTGAGCAGGCCCGTTCAGGGGGAAGAAAGTACCAAATTCAGGCACTCTGTGAGTCAATTTCCTTCTTTACAACTAAATTTGGACTGGGTTCTCCTGAGGTTGCTTACCTTAGGCCAGGTTTATAGGGAGAGGAGTGAAGCCTTCTTGTTTTTTGCCCACCTGCTATATTAGCCAGTGACCTTTTGTCACAGGGCCTGTACAGACAGTTTTAGAACTCTGTNCCCCTTCCCCCCCCCCCGCTCGCTCTTGCTCTCTCTCTCATACACACACACACCCTTTGGCATGTGGATTGGCTGCCTGGATGTGTGTTTAAATGTCCCACAGACCCAAATGACCATATCTGTTAGGATCTCCACCTTCAGCCTGGCGCCTTGCTGGCATCCTGCCATCAAAGGGAAAGAGAGGGGAAGGCATTGGGGCAACTGTGTATCTCACGGTGGGAAATGGGGAGGGGGACCTGATATGTGAAGAAGATCAGAGCTGTCTGCACTTGATACGATGGGTATCGTCAAGGCTGTTTGCCCTGGCTCTGAAGTCCCAGCAGCCTAAACCACCCAGAGTTTCCCACGACATCGCAGCAATCCCAGATTGGGTGGCAGCAGACCAAACATTGGGGGGGGGGAATGGGGAATATTGGGCTTGGCTCTTTTAATCGGTGAGCAAGAAGTTCAGATTCTGCCTCACCTTCTTGCAACCGACATGTTTAGTAAAAGTTCTTCTCCCTTCAATCTGTGGAAATTGAGGTTCTGCTTTCCTAAATGATTGTTTCGCGGCATGTCTGACAGTATCCCTTTGTGAAGCCCCTGGGATGAAGGGGTAAGGGAAGACCAATGGCTGGAGAGGACCACCAATGGAGAGCCAGCCAAGTGAGAATGCCCATGTTGGGTCAGCCGTGGTGGAGTGCCCAAGAAGAAGTGGTTGTGTTAAGGCAAGGCTTTTCAACCAGTGGTACGGGTACCACCTGTGGTCCATTGGCACCTGGCAGGTGGTACGCAACCATCCTAGAAAAGTGGTAGCGGGGGAGGGGAATGAGCTGAACCAGTGGCAGCACTGCACAAACCTGAGCGAGAGACGGCTGGAGCTGCAGGGCTGTCAGGGCTCAGCAGAAGTGCCAGGATCAGTGCCGCTTTCCAGCTGATCGGTGCTTCTTTGGGGCTATCAGGGCTCAGTGGAAGCACCAGGATCAGCACCAGGCTCCAGCTGGAGCTCGGCGCTGATCCTGGCGCTTCTGCTGAGCCCAGAAAAAGCGCCGATCAGCTGGAATGTCGCAGCATCCCCAGGGTCTTGTGATTTACATTCAGATGCTTGGCAACGGATTCATATTTATGATGGTCACAGTGTCCCAAGGTCATGTGAAGTGACCAAAACCTGATGCAACCACCCAGCAGACGGGGGGAATAAAAACCAAACACCCCCCCACCCCACCCCCGCTGCCAATTCTCAACAGAAATGCTCACAACAATGAAAACCTCGGACAGGAGGAAGACTGCCACCGGGTGGGCAGGCAGGTGTCTTGCTCGGCAGTTTTTTCAATGCCATTGTAACTTTGAACAGTCACTAAGCTAACTGTTGTAAGTCAAGGACTACCAGTACGTCATCATTCCCCCCCCCCTTTTTTTTTTTGGTCATCAAGTTTTTGACACCTTGCTAGGCGACTGGTGGTACAATGGGTGAAAAGGTTGAAAAGCCCTGTGTTAAGGCAGCCGTGTCCAATTGTCCCATTAGGCTTTTGGTTAACCCACCGGGCCAAATTTCCTTTACTAAGCTAGCTAGGACTGAGTAGGGTTCACCTCTGACCTCTCGGGCTGCATGGCTCTCAGCAAAATTACTGTAATAAATTTTAAATTCAAATAGTGCAAATTAATATTCACTAATAGGAATGTCCCTGGATTCCTGTCCTACCTAACACTGAAGAAATCCTTTGCATAATGGTCCAAGGGTTTCAGGGAAATAGAGCAAAGATTGTTGTAGGACCGTGCCCATTAAGTTGTCTCTCAGTGTAAATAAAGAAAATAGAGTCTCAAGCAAGAAATGCTGCTGGAAAATGGATTTATTGATAAAATGGCAGGAAATGGATCTATAAAGCTGTTACATTTCCGTGGCAAGTTTTGCTAGCTAAGCTAAGCTGTAGAAGACTTGGAAGATATGGCAACATCTATCTGATGATGGATCGTAAAAGCTAAGCACCCTCAAATCTGCTGACTACTTCAGCGGAGGACTGAGGATTCCAAGATGCTAGAAGAAGCCAACTTCTGTTGGAACGAAGTCAACAGAATAAAGTTGACTTCAGATCTGCTTGCTGAAAACAGGGGAAACTAAGACTTACTTGCTATATGCTAGACTGTATCTGTGATAAACAGAGTAAGCTTTCCCAAGCTGAATTAAATTACACAAAATTGCTCTGATGCTTGTTCATCTGTTTGACCGTTGCCCAGGCAAATCTTCTGAAGTTATAGGCGAACGCCCTGGATTTTGGAAATCTGTTTTTCGCTACCCCGACAAGTTTAGAGGAGGATGGTTGGATTGAAACTCACAGATGATTAATCGAGTTATATTGCAGGGCACATCATTCCACTTGCCATCCAGGTATAACTCTATGCAATCCTCTTCTTCTCCATTAGGTTCGCCTTTTGCCCACCGTGAGTATTGCATTTGGTCCCCGTTGAGGTGCTTAAAATGGCCTTCTCTCTCCCGGTCAGTCATCCCAAGAAAAGCATGTTTTCCAAGTTTTGACGCCAGTTTTGCTAAGGCGGCGTTTTCTTCCCCGTTTCTCGGAGAGGCGAGCTGCCCCCCAAACATGGAGCAGGTGGCTTTGGCAGTTTCATAATTGGCTTCGGCTCCATTAGATGCAAATTTTTTGTTTCCTGTTATGGAGAAGTTTGGGAAAGCAGCCTCTAGAAAATCTAAGGAAAAACAATAACAACGCGAAGTTAAATTCTTTCTCGGCTGTTTTTCAAGGGCGAGAAATCCACTTTAGGAGCCGTCCTGCTCTCGACATCAAATGAACCGAAGGAACATCAGGAAGTACCAGAATAAAGTTTTTCTTTTTTTGAAATTTTTTTATTGGTTTTCTATTTTCACATTTAAATATTTGAAAAGCAACGTGGCGGCTGCGTTGGTCAATAATTCAACAACGTACAAATATCTTTAGTACAGATCTCAAATGATTACATTAAATATTTCCTTTCTTTTCCCCTTAGTATTCACTGTCTCGCGTTTAAATTCATACAATTCTTACTATATCGATTAGATAAAAATAACTTTCTTACATTTATCAACAATTTTTGTTGATACATATCCTAGTTGTTTTAACATTCAATCTTTTTAGACAATCAACGTCCTGGTTCGTTTTTCCCAATTTTTAATTTACCATTAATATTTAAATTTAACGTTTTGTATTTATGATTTCCAACTTTTAATTCATCCCAGTTCCCTTTTTCACAATTCATCACAAGATCTAATCTTCAGGATACACGTCTTGTCTATTTGAATTCTCACCATCTTACATCAGCCAATTAATAGTGCAATGTACGGTAATATTCTTATTTTCTGATAATTTCCAAATATCTTTAACTTAATAACCAAAATTTCTCTTATTTCAACATTTAATACTTTCTCCAGAGGAAAGTATTTTTTTTTATAGTGGAAACTATTTGTAGAAATGAAACGACCTTGGTACTCTCTGAGCGTGGTTGTTTTCTCACAGATGTTTCATTACCAAGCTAGGTAACGTCATCACTACACGATGATGTTACCATGTTGGCAATGAAACATCTGCAAGAAAACAGCCAAGCTCAGCACCAACGACCCCTCGGAAGTATTCGTGAAAGTTTTTGCAAGTATTCCCAAAGAGCTGATTCTGTCTTACCTGCATGGTTCTTACTTATCATCTCCTTAACANCTCTCGTTTGGAGCTTTGCGTCTGCCTTTTGCGCCTCGACATGTGCCAAAAACTGGGGAAGGCACGCCCAGAGGGAGGCGTGGCAAGAGTTTTTTCTTGTCTTAGTTCTGCTAAGCAGGATTGCATCAATAACCCATCCTGTGGACTCTACACCACTCTGCTGAGAAAAGGCGTTCAGGTAAGAACAACGCCGCTTTTTGTAGCACCTCGCTTTCCTCTTCTTCCTCCTCCTCCTCCTCCCCTCCTCCTCCTCCTCCTCCTCCTCTTCTTCTTCTTCTTCTTCTTCTTCTTCTTCTTCTTCTCCTCCTCCTTCTCCTCTTCCTCCTCTTCCCCCCCCCCGCGCTTGCTCTTGCTGTCTCTCTCATACACACACACCCTTTGGCATGTGGATTGGCTGCCTGGATGTGTGTTTAAATGTCCCACAGACCCAAATGACCATATCTGTTAGGATCTCCACCTTCAGCCTGGCGCCTTGCTGGCATCCTGCCGTCAAAGGGAAAGAGAGGGGAAGGCACTGGGGCAATCCGCAACTGTGTATCTCACGGTGGGAAATGGGGAGGGGGACCTGATATGTGAAGAAGATCAGAGCTGTCTGCACCTGATACGATGGGTATCGTCAAGGCTGTTTGCCCTGGCTCTGAAGTCCCAGCAGCCTAAACAACCCAGAGTTTCCCACGACATCGCAGCAATCCCAGATTGGGTGGCAGCAGACCAAACATTGGGGGGGGGGAATGGGGAATATTGGGCTTGGCTCTTTTAATCGGTGAGCAAGAACTTCAGACTCCGCCTCACCTTCCTGCAACCGACATCTTTAATAAAAGATCTTCTCCCTTCAATCTGTGGAAATTGAGGTTCTGCTTTCCTAAATGATTGTTTCGCAGCATGTCTGACAGTATCCCTTTGTGAAGCTCCTGGGATGAAGGGGTAAGGGAAGACCAATGGCTGGAGAGGACCACCAATGGAGAGCCAGCCAAGTGAGAATGCCCATGTTGGGTCAGCCGTGGTGGAGTGCCCAAGAAGAAGTGGTTGTGTTAAGGCAAGGCTTATCAACCAGTGGTATGGGTACCACCTGTGGTACATTAGCACCTGGCAGGTAGTACGCAACCATCCTAGAAAAGTGGTAGCGGGGGAGGGGAATGAGCTGAACCAGTGGCAGCACCGCACAAACCTGAGTGAAAGACGGCTGGAGCTGCAGGGCTGTCAGGGCTCAGCAGAAGTGCCAGGATCAGTGCCGCTTTCCAGCTGATCGGTGCTTCTTCGGGGCTATCAGGGCTCAGTGGAAGCACCAGGATCAGCACCAGGCTCCAGCTGGAGCTCGGCGCTGATCCTGGTGCTTCTGCTGAGCCCAGAAAAAGCACCGATCAGCTGGAATGTCGCAGCATCCCCAGGGTCTTGTGATTTACATTCAGATGCTTGGCAACGGATTCATATTTATGATGGTCACAGTGTCCCAGGGTCATGTGAAGTGACCAAAACCTGCTGCAATCACCCAGCAGACAAGGGGAATAAAAACCAAATACCCCCCACCCCACCCTCGCTGCCAATCCTCAACAGAAATGCTCACAACAATGAAAACCTCGGACAGGAGGAAGAGTGCCACCGGGTGGGCAGGCAGGTGTCTTGCTCGGCAGTTTTTTCAATGCCATTGTAACTTTGAACAGTCACTAAGCTAACTGTTGTAAGTCAAGGACTACCAGTACGTCATCATTCCCCCCCCCCTTTTTTTTTGGTCATCAAGTTTTTGACACCTTGCTAGGCGACTGGTGGTACAATGGGTGAAAAGGTTGAAAAGCCCTGTGTTAAGGCAGCCGTGTCCAATTGTCCCATTAGGCTTTTGGTTAACCCACCGGGCCAAATTTCCTTTACTAAGCTAGTTAGGACTGAGTACGGTTCACCTCTGACCTCTCGGGCTGCATGGCTCTCAGCAAAATTACTGTAATAAATTTTAAATTCAAATAGTGCAAATTGATATTCACTGATAGGAATGTCCCTGGATTCCTGCCCTACCTAGACACTGAAGAAATCCTTTGCATAATGGTCCAAGGGTTTCAGGGAAATAGAGCAAAGAGTGTTGTAGGACCGTGCCCATTAAGTTGTCTCTCAGTGTAAATAAAGAAAATAGAGTCTCAAGCAAGAAATGCTGCTGGGAAATGGATTTATTGATAAAATGGCGGGAAATGGATCTATAAAGCTGTTACATTTCCGTGGCAAGTTTTGCTAGCTAAGCTAAGCTGGAGAAGACTTGGAAGATATGGCAACATCTATCTGATGATGGATCGTAAAAGCTAAGCACCCTCAAATCTGCTGACTACTTCAGTGGAGGACTGAGGATTCCAAGATGCTAGAAGAAGCCAACTTCTGTTGGAACGAAGTCAACAGAATAAAGTTGACTTCAGATCTGCTTGCTGAAAACAGGGGAAACTAAGACTTACTTGCTATATGCTAGACTGTATCTGTGATAAACAGAGTAAGCTTTCCCAAGCTGAATTAAATTACACAAAATTGCTCTGATGCTTGTTCATCTGTTTGACCGTTGCCCAGGCAAATCTTCTGAAGTTATAGGCGAACGCCCTGGATTTTGGAAATCTGTTTTTCGCTACCCCGACAAGTTTAGAGGAGGATGGTTGGATTGAAACTCACAGACGATTAATCGAGTTATATTGCAGGGCACATCATTCCACTGGCCATCCAGGTATAACTCTATGCAATCCTCTTCTTCTCCATTAGGTTCACCTTTTGCCCACCGTGAGTATTGCATTTGGTCCCCGTTGAGGTGCTTAAAATGGCCTTCTCTCTCCAGGTCAGTCATCCCAAGAAAAGCATGTTTTCCAAGTTTTGACGCCAGTTTTGCTAAAGCGGCGTTTTCTTCCCCGTTTCTCGGAGAGGCGAGCTGACCCCCAAACATGGAGCAGGTGGCTTTGGCAGTTTCATAATTGGCTTCGGCTCCATTAGATGCAAATTTTTTGTTTCCTGTTATGGAGAAGTTTGGGAAAGCAGCCTCTAGAAAATCTAAGGAAAAACAATAACAACGCGAAGTTAAATTCTTTCTCGGCTGTTTTTCAAGGGCGAGAAATCCACTTTAGGAGCCGTCCTGCTCTCGACATCAAATGAACCGAAGGAACATCAGGAAGTACCAGAATAAAGTTTTTCTTTTTTTGAAAGTTTTTCATTGGTTTTCTATTTTCACATTTAAATATTTGAAAAGCAACGTGGCGGCTGCGTTGGTCAATAATTCAACAACGTACAAATATCTTTAGTACAGATCTCAAATGATTACATTAAATATTTCCTCTCTTTTCCCCTTAGTATTCACTGTCTCGCGTTTAAATTCATACAATTCTTACTATATCGATTAGATAAAAATAACTTTCTTACATTTATCAACAATTTTTGTTGATACATATCGTAGTTGTTTTAACATTCAATCTTTTTAGACAATCAACGTCCTGGTTCGTTTTCCCCAACTTTTAATTTACCATTAATATTTAAATTTAACGTTTAGTATTTATGATTTCCAAGTTTTAATTCATCCCAGTTCCCTTTTTCACAATTCATCACAAGATCTAATCTTCAGGATACACGTCTTGTCTATTTGAATTCTCACCATCTTACATCAGCCAATTAATAGTGCAATGTAATATTCTTATTTTCTGATAATTTCCAAATATCTTTAACTTAATAACCAAAATTTCTCTTATTTCAACATTTAATACTTTCTCCAGAGGAAAGTATTTTTTTTTTATAGTGGAAACTATTTGTAGAAATGAGAGGACCTTGGTACTCTCTGAGCGTGGTTGTTTTCACACAGATGTTTCATTACCAAGCTAGGTAACGTCATCACTACACGATGATGTTACCATGTTGGCAATGAAACATCTGCAAGAAAACAGCCAAGCTCAGCACCAACGACCCCTCGGAAGTATTCGTGAAAGTTTTTGCAAGTATTCCCAAAGAGCTGATTCTGTCTTACCTGCATGGTTCTTACTTATCATCTCCTTAACA